TGAGAGAAAAAGGCATATAGAAAAGATTTGAAGGCTAAGAAGGGTTTAGAAGTGTTAGAACAGCTTTAGGAATCGGGAAAAAGTTTTTTGAAGATTTTTGGTAAAATTTTTTTCTGAAAAATTTTCATATTCCGATGAATTTTTCGATGGACATTAAATTTTTCGATGAAGATTCTGGCCAAGTTTGAAGTTTTCGACCAACTTTCCAATTTTCGATGACATTTTCAGAAATCGATCAGTTTTTCGACGATCTTTCGACGAAAAACCCAGATTTCAGCCAAAAATTCTAAAATTCGATGAATATTCAACCAGAGTTCTTCGGGCGTTTTAGAGAGAAGGTAGAGAAAAGAAAAGAAGAGAGAGAGGGAGGAGGCTCGATCTGCTGAAAAAATGAAGAATTCAGCCTTATATACCCTCCCAAAGCAACGTCGTTTTTGCATTAAATAACCTAGAGGATCCACTTGTTTTGCCAAGATCTGACCCCACCCAAGCGTTGACCCGCTTTTCGACCCGCGTGTGATCTGCCTCCCCGAGCCGAGCCGACCTTTCGAGCCGCAATCTCTGAGCCTTTTTTCTTCCTTAAGTCGAGCCGTTCTCCGAGCCGCTTTAGGTTTTATTTATTTATTTGTTTTTTTATTATTAGATTAGGTTTATTTAATATTCTTTTATCTTTATTTCATTTTTATTTTTGTTTTACTTTTCTTTATTTTTTTATTTTTTTATTTTCACTTTTATTTTGTTTTATTATTTTATTTTCTTTAAATAAATCTAAAAAAAAATATTTTTGGGGAAAAGTTGAAAGTATCAATTTTTCTTAAAAATAAATTTTCTAAAAAATATTTTTGGGAAAAAGTTGAAAGTATCAATTTTCCTTAAAAATAAATTTTTAAAAAAGGGTTTTTGAAAGATTAAAATTTCTAAAGAATATTTTCGGGAAAAAGTTGACAGTATCAATTTTTCCTGCACAAAAATAATCATTTTTTTCTTTTTATTATTATTTTTAAATAATCCGACGATGGAGCCTCTGCAAGTGAAACAGTAGTTTTCTTGCATACTCTTGAAGTGAGGAAATTTTCTCAATTTTTTGCTAAAAGTATTAGAGTCAATTGAAAATAATTTCCAATAATTAATTACTTGATAAAATTTTAAGGCTCATTGGATAACACAAATTTAAGCTGATACCATCTTTTGATGGGCGTTGTGAGGGTGCTATAACCTTTCTCACACGTAACCGAACTCCCAAACCCTGCTCTGGTTAGTAGACCTGAACCTATTCTTTTAGGGACCCTTAAACTTAAATGTTCCTTGGAAGGACAGATTCTTTAGGTGGCCAATCACACCTAGATAAAAAAAGATTGGTGGCGACTCCCTTAAGTCAATGTCTAGCGATAGATCTCCGGATCTAGACGTTATGACAATTATTATTTTCATAGATTTTTATTCTAAGAGATGAATTAACACAAGTTATGACAAAATATTAGATTAAGATAAAGTGTGATTTTACGACAAGATTGCTTTTAATTGAGCCAACTGTTTTTTATTTAGTTCAAGGTCCAACTAAATATTTTTTTTCATTAATTGTAAAATTTGTCTATACTTTCTATCATAGAAGTCTCACTAATAAATTAAAAAGGAATGAGTGAGTCGAGAATTTAATTATTCACTTTTAGTAATTGATTTGGTTTGTTTTGTGTAAGTTGACTATATTTTCCCTGTAAAATAAAGATTTTTAAGTATTCAACCACTTAAAAATATTATCATTATTTTTTTTTGTTTAGTTTGACTTTAAATATCTTTAAATTAAATTATTACCCACCAATCTAGAAAAGAAAGAGGAGGAAATTATAATAGTTTTTGGACATTAAAATTGTAAATTTGCTTGCTTGCTTTGATGATTATAAATTGGAATTGTTAGGTTTTGTGTTTATACATTTGACATGGTAATATTATGTTAGTTAATATAAAATTTAAAAAATATATATTATCATTATACATCTAACACTAGATTCTCGTGACAACAGGTAGACATTATAATAGTAATTATTTATTTTGATTAAGGAGTATTTGTTTGTCATATTTAAGGGTGTAAATGATATAGTTATGCTCGTAAGCTATTTGGGTTTGACTTGAAAAAAAACTTAACTTCGATTTTATTATTGTTGAGCTAAGCTCAAGTAGCTTGATTTATCAAGTGAATTGAATTTGAATATTTTAATACTTGACTCGAATGGCTCACGAGCTTATTTAAGCTTTTTCTATTTTAATATATATTTTATTATTTTAATTATAAATTACAATTTTGCTCTTAAAATTTAAATACCTTAAACTAAAAACACTCCCCCTTCCAATAAAGTTGCTTTTTTTTTCGCTCCCTTTTTTTTTGTCATGTTCCTACTATAACTCCAAAAGGGCCATCCCTACTATGGATTACGCTAAAAAAGTTGGTGATAAGCAAAAAAAAAAAAAAAAGAGAAAACATCAAAGAATTAGCCTGTAAGAATCGGAAGCACAAATCAATCGCCTGTGCTAAGTCTAAATCCCATCTCGACAGGAGCAACTACCTTTTTCAAACATCTCTACTTTTTGCTATGTTTTTTTCTTAGCTTTTTGAAAAAAATTTTTTAGGTATTTGTAGGATTTGAATCTATCTTAAATCTAATTAATTTTTATATCTAAAGATTCACTTTTTTTTTGACAAAGTGTGAAAAAGATTGTTAAATTATTGATATCATCATATGATTGAATGGTTGTTTAAAAAGGGTGGCATGTGATTTGTTTTTTGTTCTTTTATTCTATTTTTTTCATTAAATTATTTTTATTGTTTTGAATTTTTATGTTTTTTTTTTCATACGAAGCCTAATAGTTTGAGTGAGCTCCCTAGAATGATCTTTTTAGGTTGTATACTTCAGTTCGACAAGTTTAACTTATATGTAAAAGATTTTGTTTCTTTTATTTTGTAAATGATTTTGTTTCATGATTTGTTATTCTATTTCTTGTTTTGTTGAGAATGAATATGAAATTACAAATTTTCTATTATGATTCGAATCAAGTAAGCTCAAGCTCAGCTCAAGTTTTACCTCGAGTCGAGCTCAAATTTGAAAAATAAAATTTCATTGAGTTTGAGTCGGGTTTTGCTGTTTAAGTTAAACTCAAGCTCAAGCATCCTAGTCACGTTCTTTCTCCAACTCTAGAAAGACCCTCCATACTACAGATTATGCTCAAAAAGTCGGTGATAAGCAAAAAGAAAAGAGAAAGCATCAAAGAATTAGCCTGCAAGGAGCGAAGGTACAAATCAATCACATGTGCTAATTCTAAATCTCATTCCAACAGGAGCAACTACATTTTCCAACATCTCTACTATTTGCTATGTGTTTTTTTCCCTAGTTTTTTGAAAAAAAAAATTTCTAGTTTAAATTTAATTAATTTTTATATCTAAGGATTTATCTTTCTTTTTTTTTTTGACAAAATGTGTAAAAAAGATTGTTAAATTGTTGATATTATCATATGATTTGACGGTTATTTAAAAGGGATGGCATGTAATTTGTTTTTTCTTCTTTTTTTTTTTTATTCTTTTGCATTAAATTGTTTTTGTTGTTTTGAATTTTTATGTTTTTTTTCATATGTAGCCTAATAGTTTGAGTGAGCTTCTGGAATGATCTTCGTAGATTGTATACTTAACTTCGATAGGTTTAATCTATATCTAAAAGATTTTGTTTTATACTTTATTGTTTTGATTTTTGTTTTGTTAAGAATAAATATGAAATTATAAATTTTTTATTATAATTTGAGCCAAACGAGTTCAAACTTGATTCAAATTTTATTTTGAATCAAATTTAAATTTAAAAAATAAAATATAATCAATTTAAATCAAAATTTTAAATTTTAATTTTTGAATTGAATTCAAACTCAAATGTTTTAATATATCAACTAAGTTCGAATACGTCCAGTCATGTTATATGCGGGAAGTGATGCTTTGATTAAAGGTAGCGGCCCAACTTGCACTATTGGTTTATTAGTATTTTTCTTTTCTTTTTTTTTTAAATTAGTATTTTCAGCTTTCATTGTGCTCTTCTGGCCAATCAATAATTGCCATATAAAGGAACTACAATTTCCTACCATAGACCGTCACCTACTTAATCATTCCTCCTCTAGTTTTTACGCCTTATTTTTTATTCCGAAGGCCGTGGCCTCCGCAGCCCTACCCTGTTAGGCTGTTAGCCACTTCACAATGGGCAAAATGTAATTCCGTCCAAGTTCATTGTACCACTAAAATCCAAATATAGTTTCGTATCTTTGTCCACATCTCCTTCACGCGCTTTCTATGGTCATTTTCATATCGCGCTATATCTCAAAATTATGAAAATTTATCATTATTTATAATATAATCCAACTATTTAAAATCGATTCCTTTATATTTGTCTAAATAAGAGACTTGATTTTTTTTATAAGATAAGAGATAGTGTGATAAGATTTGAAAATTTTCTAATCACTAAACAAATAAATTAAAGGCTTGAAATTTCATTTTAATTAAATTGGAACTCAAATTTAAAACTTAAATAAAATTCTAATAATACAAAGATCATATTAATGTCCAAAATCATTTTTAAAATCACAACTGCTTAATGATGGTAAAAAAAATAAGACTTCATTATATATAAAGATTGATAATTAATTAAATAAAATTATTATATTTTAAATTTTAAATTTTTATTAAGCCTTTTAAATAAATTTTTTAAAAAACATTTCACCTCAATTTAACCAATGACTTGTATTTCTCCATTGAAGTAGAAAATAGGTAAGTTTGGTTTAAATAATTGATGAGCTTTAAAAAAATACCAAGGGCCAACTGCCAACCATCGCAATGTAATGTCACATAGAACATTGCGCGTGGGCATGTCATTGAAGTCGAGTTTCGATAGAAAGAAAGTCCCGTGTCAAGCACGTGACGGCTCACCTTAGCAAAAACAACAGAAGCAAGCGCCAGTTAGCACGCACTTTGATTTTTTATTTTATTCTGTTTATCTATCGCACTTCACACAAATAAAATCCACTTCGCCATCAAACTCTGTGGTTTTTCTTATTGTCGCTCAGCCGTGCGTTCTGTTGTTTTCTTCTTCAATCGAAAAGAAAGTTGGAAAACCCTAGCTTTTTTTTTTTTTTTCTAAAAAGAGAAAATTAAAGGGTTAGGCTTTGGCTTTTCTTTGAAGCTATGACGACGTCGTTTGGAACTGCGACGAGTACCTTCATGCCGACTGATCCAAAGATTCGAGTGCAGAGCTTCACGGGGTTGAAATCTTCTCATTCCATAGCATTGACGAGGAATCTTCGTGTCTTTCCGGTTCCTTTCTCTAGTCGTTCTCTCATTAGAGCTGTCTCTACGGTCAGTTTTCTTTTTTCAGAAAAAAAATTTTTTTCATTGTGAATGTTAATTGTTGTTTGTAAGCTAAGAAAGCCGGAGAAAATTTTGTAACTTTTTACAACTTTATGCCTTTTCGCTTTCTTTTCTCTCTGTTTGTCTTTTGTTTTTTAACATAAAGATTCCTTTGCTTTTTTTTTTTGTTTAAATTACATTTCATTCTTTATTGCTTTTTGAGAATTGCTAGTATGAAATGATCAATGGAGACTGTTTTCCCTTTGTTTGTTCTTTAAATTTTATCTATTTAAATGCGTATTCTATTTTCCAGCTTTAAAAAAGAAAAAAAAAATTGAAGAAATGGTGTTTGCATAATTTTTTTTAATTATTTTTTTATTAAAATGGACATATTTTCCTCAGTGAAATAAGATTTATTCTAATGTATTTATTTATGCTGGAATATTTTTTGTTATTTTTTCCTTTTTAAATCTAAAATTGCAAAATCTTATATTATATTGTTTCTCTTAAATAACTTGTTGAATCCCTTTGCAGCCATTGAAGACTGAAACGACTACCACAGAGCCAAAGCGAAGTAAAGTTGAAATATTCAAAGAACAAAGCAATTTCATTAGATACCCTCTTAACGAGGAGATATTGACAGATACCCTAAATATAAACGAGGCTGCAACACAATTAATTAAGTTCCATGGGAGCTATCAACAGTATAACAGAGATGAGCGCGGTACAAGGTCTTATTCATTCATGCTTCGTACTAAAAACCCTGGTGGGAAAGTCTCAAACCAACTCTACTTGACCATGGATGATCTTGCTGACCAGTTTGGCATTGGAACTTTACGTTTGACCACGAGGCAAACCTTTCAGCTCCATGGTGTTTTGAAGAAGAATCTCAAGACCGTAATGAGCACCATTATTAAAAACATGGGTTCAACTCTTGGTGCATGTGGGGATCTCAATAGGAATGTGCTTGCTCCTGCTGCGCCTCTAATGACAAAAGAATACCTGTTTGCACAGGAAACTGCTGACAACATTGCTGCACTGTTAACTCCTCAGTCGGGTTTTTACTATGATGTGTGGGTGGATGGGGAGAGATTCATGACATCGGAACCTCCAGAAGTTGTGAAAGCTAGGAATGATAATTCTCATGGAACAAATTTCCCTGATTCACCAGAGCCTATATATGGGACTCAGTTCTTGCCAAGGAAGTTTAAAATTGCTGTGACTGTGCCAACTGATAACTCAGTGGATATTCTCACAAATGATATTGGCGTTGTGGTAGTTTCCGATGAAAACGGGGAGCCTCAGGGGTTCAACATATATGTAAGACTACTGTATGAAGGAAGAAATATTATCTTTTTCCCTTTTTTCTTGCAGACTTTTATACCTAAAAACATCCGTTTCTTGTAATTGTCATTGCAGGTTGGTGGTGGCATGGGAAGAACCCATAGGCTGGAGACCACTTTCCCACGTTTGGGAGAACCACTGGGTTATGTGCCAAAAGGGGACATTTTGTATGCTATTAAAGCCATTGTTGCTACACAACGTGATCATGGCAGAAGAGATGACCGTAAATATAGTAGAATGAAATATTTGATCAGCTCTTGGGGGATTGAAAAGTTTAGAAGTGTTGTTGAGCAATATTATGGAAAGAAATTTGAGCCTTTCCATGAGTTGCCTGAATGGGAATTTAAGGGTTACTTGGGATGGCATGAGCAGGTTTGTGTTTTTAATTTGGAGATATCATATATGATGTCCTCGGTTTCACTTATGGTATTTAACTTCCACATTGCATAATTACTAATTGTGTTTTAATCCTTTAATATTATGCTTGGCTCAAATTGTTTTCAATTCTACTGTGATCCTTAGCTTATAAACAGTTCATTTCATCTTCTTGGTCATTTTTCTGACTGGTTAGAAACTTTTGGCAGGGTAATGGTGCTTTATTTTGTGGTCTCCATGTAGATAATGGTCGTGTTGGAGGAAAAATGAAAAAGACACTGAGGGAAGTAATAGAGAAGTATAATTTAAATGTGCGAATCACCCCAAACCAAAATCTTATTTTGTGTGACATTCGTAGTGCATGGAAGCGTCCTATTACCACAGTTCTTGCTCAGGCTGGCCTGCTGGTAAGATGTTTATTACTTGCTATATTGCCTCTGATTTGAACCTGCAGTCTACAATGTCTGCAAAAGTTTGAGTTGAGCATCTTAATCAAATGGTTAAGAAAATTTGCCTTGTCTATTTTGTTTGGGTTGGTTGCCAATGTGACATCGTAATTCAGATTTTAAAGAAATAATAAAATTCATTAATGAAGAATTAGTTAAACCATGGAGTGATGATGGCTTCATAGTCTGTAAATAACTTTTTCAGGAACTTACTGTAGTTTGCACATTGCACTTAATCTTTTAGCTGTTTTTCCTTTTTCTTTTAAAATCTTCCTTGGATTGCAATAATGTTATATGGTTAGTTAAGAAGTGTTTCCTTTGCTTCTCGATAATCCTTCCTAGAAATTGTTTGTACTTTGAATTAGATGTATAGCTGACTGGTTCTTGCTTTGAACAGCATCCTAGATATGTGGACCCCCTGAACATAACTGCTATGGCATGCCCAGCTTTCCCACTTTGTCCATTGGCAATAACTGAAGCTGAACGAGGCATACCTGATATCCTCAAGCGGGTCAGAGCTGTCTTTGAGAAGGTATGCTTACAACAACTAGACTGGCCTAACACTGAAGTTTGCATGATCGGTGACTGAAACAGTCACCTTTGCAAGCCGAAATTTTACTTCTTCATGACCTTGTTGAAGATGTGCTGTGCACGGCTTTCATTTTATTTTTAAATTAGTTTTAAGCCCATGCAATGCACAAGTAATAATTATATATATAATTTAATTATAATATAATTAATAAATTTTATATAAAAATAAATATTTTTCAAATATAAATATAAATATACATTTTTTTTATTTTAAATGAAATAAGTATTCTTGACACAATTATTTTTTTTTAGTATAGAACCTATATGAAATGTTGCATTAAAATATAATTTTTTAAAATATTCTACAATTTTTAAAATGTAGATAGTATTAGAAAAAAGCCAATAAATTGGTGGACGTTACATAGAAATAGAAAGTTAAGTCAATTCATATAAGCTAATAAAACATATTATATAACTATTTAGTGGAAAAAAATAATAAATTGATACAAAATGAAAAGAAAAGAAAACATAACACAAAAAGCAAAATAGTTATAAGAACTTTCGTTAGATCAAGTAAAAATTGTAAAAGTTACGAAAAATATATTTTGAGTCAATTTAAAAACTCAATATTTTATAATCTAAGTTATGGACAAAGTAATAAATAAATTGAATCATAACATTTAATGAGATATGATTGGAAAAGTAAAATTATTTAGAATTAAATCAAAATTTTAAATTTGGTTTGGAAAGGAATTAATATTTAAAAATTGTAAGAGTGATATTTCCAGTAAATTACAATGATTTTAGGATAAATTGATTTTAACTATACATTTAATATTTAAAAAAGTAAAAAAAAGAAAAGATAAATAGATATTCTAAAAAATTAATGTAATTAATTCGGTCAAAAATTAATGTTTGACTCAAATTTGCATCTGTAGTAGATTTTTGGACAATTGTATGGACTAAAATATAAAAATTAGAACTATGAAATTAGCAAAACTAAAAGAAATAATGATAAAGAGTTTTAATTATATATTTTGAGTTGTAAAATTATGTGTACTGATTTGAGTTGAAGAAATTCAAAAAAAGTGTGAATCCAAAATAAATCCATATTCTTGTATTTCACTCGCATCTCTAGCTACATCTTCCAATCCAAGAAAAATGATTACAATGACAATGTAATATAATTGCTTAGCATAAATATCGTTGTTATATAAAATAAAATTCAATTAAAATTTGAGAAAATTAATTAAAAACAATGATTATAAATTTAAAAATCAATTATTTATTTATCTAGATTATTAGCACAAACATGCTAAATCAAAAAAGAATATTGCAAATCAACTAGAGTTCACCAAAAAAAAAAAGAAAACTACAATAAAATCAAACATGAAATATAACATCTAATTTGTAACATAGAAACTTTTAAAGAAAACAATCAATCAAAATTTTTTTGAGTGATGCCTTAAGTTTGAAAGAAATGCCAAACTGACAATGTCCTTGGTAATTCTACTGTAATTGCTTAATCTTCTTTTGATATCTTCCTTAATCCATTTCAAAACCTTAGAATGATTTTTATATGAAGCATATGAATAATCAAATCTAACTATTAACAATCATTGAACTCCTAACTAAGCCAAATAATTACTTCTTTAAACTTCTACAATAGTATATAATTTCTTAGCATCAACTCTTTATATGCTTTGATTAAGACCATTTGTATACAAAATCAAATTGCTAGAAGTACATATTGTATTTCATAATATAAAAAGTAATAAATAAATCGAATTGCTAAAACTCTTTGAAAAGTTTTTCATGGATCCCAAAAAAAGTAAGCAAACAAAATATTGCACCATACAAAACAAAATATACACGCATAAACACAATCATAAAATCATTTGAATATGCAAATGAATGCATTAACAAAAAATAGGCTATAAAATTTTTTTGATATAAACTCAAACCTAAAAGCTTCATTGATCTCTAAGTCAATATCTAATTTATAATTGTGGTTAGTCAGCAAATTAATTATGAAAATATTCAAATATCTTAAGTTTAAATATAATAAATAGACCATGAATTAAAAAGAAAATTACTTATGGAAGGCAAAAATAGTAGATTGCAAAGAATAATCTTATTACATTACTTGTTTTGATATAAAACCAAGCATGATTGTAAACAATTTAAATTTATATTAAAATCTTTTTGGCAAATATGGAAAGAAAATATTGTTATTTAATATAATTTAAGTTAAAAATCTTAATCGTAAAAAACTATAAAAGGTCACATAAATGTAAAAAGGTAAGTAATTAAATTAAAATTTTAAAAGGAAAGAAATATAATTAATTATTTGAAATGTTTTTTTTTTTTAATTTAAATCAAATTAATTAAAAAATTAAATGCAAAACATATGGTTATTTTTCAAAATCGTCTACATATCAATTATATATTTACAAATAATAATAATATTTGCAAAGTTATAATCTTATACCACCCTTTAGATCTTATTATAAATTATAAAAAGTTGGTGTAAAATATAAAAAATAATGTACCATTATTTAAACAATGTGTCAAGGAAAAGGAAAAAAAGAGTAGAAGAATACAAATGAAATATTTTTTACTACAATTGTTGTATTTGTCACATTTATCTTATCATCATTATATTTATATACAACACATAATAATTGTTTTTTAAATAAAAATATATCAAATCAAATCCATTAAACCATCCATGTAGGATAAATTGTCTTTTTATACTAAAAGTTTTGGCTATTATATATGTATATAAGATATGTATATATATTTAATATATTAATTTTAAAATGATTAATAAATGATTAAATCAATTAAAATTCATTTGAGTATGTCAAATCAAATTAATTTTATATCATTATCACTAATATCAAAATCTCTCTTTTCATTTCTTCTAAGCACTCCTAAGCATGTTGAATACATATACTTGACTATTTTAATTGTCAAACATAAATTACTCTCAATTTAAAATATTATTATCTTGATTCAGTTCTTAATTTATTTTTCATTCAAAAAATAAATAAATTTTCTTTTATTACGTTTTAATAAGAAACATTGAATGTGTTTTATAATAATAAAAATAAGATATTTGAAATTAAATTTATTTAACCATTAAAATTTTAATTTTAAATACATAATAAATTATGAACACATGTAAATTTATTAGATTGTTCACATGTAAAAAATGTAGACTATTCAAATTAGATTTTTTTTTTTTTTGTTAAAGGCTTTAGCTTTAAAATTTTTACACACCATTTATGTGTGAATTTCTATAGTCTAGTCAATTGAGCAAAATCTCCTCCCTATATATTATTTGAATTCATGTGAAATCAGGTTTGGAACTCTAATAAATAGATACGCACTGCCTAATAACAGGTCGGCCTCAAGTACAATGAGTCTGTGGTGATAAGGATAACTGGCTGCCCTAATGGTTGTGCTAGACCATACATGGCTGAGCTTGGGCTGGTTGGTGATGGTCCCAACAGCTACCAGGTAGTTCAATCATTTGGTGTGATGCCTTTCTATCCTAATAGTCAGTGGGATAACTTGCTAATTTTGTTTTTGTTGATAAAATTAGATTTGGCTTGGAGGAACACCCAATCAAACCCAATTAGCAAGAAGTTTTATGAATAAAGTCAAAGTTCAGGATCTTGAAAAAGTTTTTGAACCTTTGTTCTACTACTGGAAACGAAAAAGACAACCCAAAGAATCATTTGGCGACTTCACAACCCGCATGGTAAGTACTGGAACAACTAGCATGTTTTCATTATTATTCTCTTGGAGCGCTAATGGCAAAATAATCTAGTTATATCACAATTTTTTCGATGAACTGAATTCATGGCTCAGCAACTGATGAGGATGTTGTTTTCTCTCAGGGATTTGAAAAACTTAAAGAGCTGGTGGACAAATGGGAAGGTCCAGAGCAAGCACGAGCAAGGTATAACCTAAAGCTATTTGCTGATAAAGAGACATATGAAGCTATGGACGAGCTTGCAAAGGTGCAGAACAAGAGTGCTCGTCAGTTGGCAATAGAAGTCGTACGCAATTTTGTTGCTACCCATCAAAACGGTGAAAGTGAACGAGTCATTTGAGATATTGCTGCTGCAGTGCTGCTGCATTGTCCACCAACCAAATTACCGGTGTCTCTTTCGGACTTGTTACTGTTCGGTAACATCTGGAACGGATGAAATGTGGATTTTTTGAAGTCAATTTTGTATTCAAGTTTTGGTATTGTTTTAGCTTTATACAGGATCTGGATTCTCTATAAATTATTGTGAGCTAATCTGTCCTATTTTCTTGAGTTGGAGAAGGATTATCTAATTCGTTTTAAGCTGTCAAGTTTAGTTTAGATATTTCTTTTCCCAAGATTTCAATTGAAGACCATTATCAATAAATCTCAAGATCTAAACTTTCAGCAGACTACATCCGAAATTGTCAAAATAAAGTTCTCCACCGTGACTCTCTAACCATTCTCTTTAACCATAAAATTTTAATGTAGTTTGCACTCTAACCTTGCTTTACCCTTCTTTTTCTAAAATTTTAGATTTTCTTAACGACGTGGGTTGGTCTTTCTTCCAATCTCCATGAACAAATTTCAGCGATAATTAAAATATCTCAAAATTGTAACAATTTTTTAGATAATTTAAGACTTTTAAAAGCAGGAAGGGTCTTTATTCTAACTACCAATTGATTTTAAATTGATATTCATTATCTAAAAATGATTTAATTTTATTTTAACTTGAGAATAAGAGAATCGATTGCAAGTTTTAAATTTTGAATTTTAGATTTGAAAGTTATTTTTTAATGATTATTATATTAACTAATTGAGTTATGATTGGAGAAGACATTGACTTAATTATTATATCCATATTCCATGGGCCATGGGGGTGATTTTGGAGCTTTTTATCTGTTTTTAACAGAATGATTGCTGTCTTTGAAGGATCTACGCTGCTGATACTTGGTGTCGAGTGTCAACCTTATCATCAACAAATCAATAGTAGTTATGAAGGTTATACAAATAATGTTAGCAAAAATGTCCTAACACATACATAAAATGGCTGCTTCAAATGCAAAATATGATACAACATCCATTAAATTGGCAGTGATTGATCAACATCATAGAATACAAACATGGGATTAGTTTACAAGCTATATGACTCAAAACTCCACATTTCTAAATTCCAAATCATTCATTTTGGGATTATTGCTCTACCCTTCGAACTAGAGTTTCTTCACAATTTTAATGGCATCAGGTACCATGCATCTCTACCTTCTTGCCATGAATATGAATTGATCGTTCATTTCCCACAAATTACTTTCAATCCGAAAGGTATAATTAAGATCATAACTATTTGTTGAATGTAGAAGTCTAAGAAGAGGAATATAACAAGGAATCTCCAATAAAATTATACACCTACAAGTTCCCACATGAATCTCACATTAAAATCAACATTAAATTTAGAGAACATCAGATTCTCACTTGCGGCAGATTCTAGCTGTAGGCATTGTCACACAAATAGGAGCATACTTTTTCTTAGCTTCCGGGGTCCCAGGCCTTGGCTCTTCACCCATGGCAATGTTTGCAACGGAGCAAGCAGCAGCAGTTGCAGCTGCAAAAATCAACTCCCTCCTCCCATTGCTGCCCTCTTGCTTCAGTTCCCTGGTGGCCTCCTGTCCATTATCGGTTCTTGATGCCTTGGCCACAATCAGCCCTCTGCGTACAGTTGCGGAAGGAAATCTAGTCACAGTTGTGCTTGAGGTCGGCAGGAGAGAGGCTGTCATGCTCATTGAAGCCATGTCAGTGTAGTCAGGGGTGGGGGGACTCAGCTACTTTCTGCAGGTTTTGTTTCTCAAACTGATTCAGAAGCTGAAATTGGCTATTATTAGTAACCCATCATCCAATACCTTATCCAAAGAAATGCTGGGGCAAATGGGACACAACCACGTGTGGGCTTATCTTGACCAAAGATTGTGATCAAGCAACTTGCATGGTTGTGCTTGTGGACTCTATTGAGTGGCAAAGGAATTCGCATCAATGAATACAAGCACAACAAGCAAGTAGCATGCAGACAAGCAACTACAGGTCCAACATCTGCGTGCCCCCACAAGATTGGACTTCATTTCTTTCATTTTTGTTCCTGCCACTAAAATCAGTAAATGTCATTATCTATTTGTTGATTAATTGATCCCATTACAAATTCATTGCAAGTAAGCATGAAGGCACAAGCAGCACTAGGAAAAAAAAAAAAAAAAACAAACAAACAAACCTTGACAGGTTGTTCCAAAGTAGAACAAAATAATAAAGTTTTTATTTAATCAAATGAAATTTAAACAACTTAGTACAGTTTGACCAAGTACTATGGGCTTATTGATGGGCCAACGAAAAATTTTCTGGCAGGCTAATAAATATTTTAAAGTAAAAAACTGAGTATTTGGGCTCAAATTTGATGAGTAATTAAATTTAAATTTAAAATTTTAGAATATTTATTTTAATTTTAATAGCATTAAAATAGTGATTGTGGATAACTTTGTAAATAGCTTTCGGTTTACTCCATTGAAATAAGAAACTAAAAACTTAATAAACTGGAAGTAATAACCATAACCAACTTATAGAAGTTGAAAAGAACATAACATAATACTTCCCATATTTCTCTATTCGTTTTTTTTTTTTTTTATGTGGCAAAATAGTTCCATGGGAAGACTCTCTACTCGTAAATTTTTACTTCTTCAATATCTATATAATATAGTATTTTTCAAACTCTTATTTTGAATAAATTAAGGTAATTTAAATATTCCAAATTGAATTAATTTATATATTTTCAACTTCTTTTTTAGTAAAAGGGGTATTTTGGGTATTATAATTAAAAAGAGTTAATTGGGTGGGAATTTATAATTAGCATTTTTGAGGTATGTTATTATTAGAAACTAAATTTATTAATTGGAATATAATATTTAAATCATTTCATGCAATTATTTTTAAATGATGAATAAATTTAAAACATTTTTCTATATCTTTAAATTGCGACTAACTTTAAAAAATTTTAATCAATTGTGTTCTTGTCGATACAATTACTTTTAGGTAGTATATTCATTTTTTTTATAATTTTTAATTTATAAAAAAGAAAGAAGACAGAGGTAAATTAGGTTAAGAATTATAATTTTGATTTAATAGAATGATAAGAATATAAGTCTTGATCTAGTAGTTACTATAATATTTTAAGATTATGTCTGATATATAAAATTATGATAGGATAAGATAAAATGATATTATGAATAAAATAAAATTAAATAATATCATTTTATTTTATATTTGATATGTGCAAAAATGAAGATAAAATAATTTATTTATTAATCAAAACTATCATTTCTCAAAGTTCATACAATTTAAATTATTAATATAATTTTTAAAAGTATAATAAAATATATAAGTTTAATCTCATAGATTAAAAATAATTTTTTTCATTTTGAAAGAATTGAATCATCTTATTTCAAGAAAATGATAATTTTTTTTGTAATTCTATCATTTTCAATTAGATACAGACTAAACATAATATAGAATAATTATTATGCTATCATATTTATCATCTTATATATCAAATATAAATCTATTTTTTAATAAGTAGTTAAAAATTAAGGTATACTTAAAAAAAGTGATATAGGAAAGATCCAAATTATTCTAAAACTCTAAAATAAGAAACTATCATTTGTATTCCAACAAAATTTTCATTATTTTTAATCCCATGTTATGTAATAGTAGTAGGAATTTATTAATTTTGAAAACAATTAGTAGTACTAAAGTTGGCAAAGCTGATCTAAACAATAATAAAAAAAAACAATCTTACTTATTTAAATCCGACTAATTCGAATTAACAATCCGCACCCATATAACTTGAGTAAAAATAAATTCAAATTTGAAATGATGCAAATGCGATATAAAATGATTAAAATATTTTAAAATTTTAAAATCAAATAATTTGTATATGAAATAATCCAAATTTAAATAGTTCTAATGTCAAATTTGAAAAACTAAAATTTAAAATTACTTTAATTTAAGATTATTAAAATTCAAAATAATATGAATTTGATATAATTTATAAATTTTCAACCTAAACTAACCCAATCTAAAATGATCAAATCAAAACTCGAACCTAATTGTCATTTCCATCAATATTTTTTTTTTTTTTGTGCAAGCAGACATTATAATATGAAATTTGTTAGATTTTGATTCTGCAAATTTTAATTTAATCAAAATACTACATTTTATATAAAAAAAATTTATATTTTGAATTGGTTGGAGGACGGTCAAACTACTCTTTTTACAAGTACCTTTTATTTGGAATAAAACTGAACAACTTGACGTGGAAGAATAATTCGAGAATGAAGAGAGACAACCACATTAGCTCCTACATTAAACGACAAATTTGTCCTTTACTATTTCTAAACATATTGTGAGTCACAAGAGATGTTTTAGGTGATATGGGAAAGAAAGAAATAAGCTTTTGTTCTTTTTTTTTTTTTTTTTATGAGAATTATGTTTGAACGATTACTCTTATTTTACTTCGAATAAAAAATTATGATCTATAATAATTTTAAATTTTAAATTTTAACATTTACAATTTTTTATCATATTTCTAGATTCCAACTTTTTTTTATAAAAAAAATCATATTTTTCATTTCAAAAATAAAGATTTTAATTAAAAATATGATATAGCTTGAGAGATGGAGCAAACAATCAAAATATTTTAATTAGCAAGTGGGGATATATTATATATTAATTTTCACTTCCACAATTAAAAGATTAAAGTAGTAATTAGGCTTGATAATGAATCAGCTCGTACTATTAGATAGACCCACTTGAAAGAGTTAAAATATGTGAATATTAATTATATAAAATTTTAATTATGTTAAAATTATTATAATTTTAACACGATATTTTTTTTTTTCGTTAGAAAAATGAAAGTAATAATTATCAAAGTAAAATAGAGTGAATGTAGATTTTTTTTTTTGTCTTCGAGCATTTGGTTTAGTGGCTAAAAACGTTTGAGGGGACATCAAAGACCTAATTTCGAGTCAGGTCTCTTATTTTCCTCTTACTTGTACGAAGGCTTTGTCTTCTTGATGTAATAAAAAAAATATTGATAAAAAATAATTTAAATTCAATGAGAGTTTAGATTTTATTATATTTTTGGTGTGATATAATTGAATTTATTGTATTATTAATTAAATTTAAATATTAATTTCAATAAAATTTATTTCATATAAATTTTTATGAATTTTTTAATTAAAATTATAATAATTTTTTTAATTGTAATTATAATAATAATTATTATTTTTTTTTTAATTTTATCATATATATCCATATAGACCCTAGTTAAATGAGCTAATTAAGGAGTTTCCAAAAGAAGTAGTACCCTTGGTTAAGGGGTTTTTTTTAAATTCAAACATGGTGCAAGTCTTACTCTGGCTCACATGCAGCAAATAAAGGCACAATTACAGCAAACCTTCTTTGTGTTTTGATCCTGTTTCCTTTGAAAATGATAAAAAAAAAAAACTGAGACAAAAGCCAACGTGAGGGTCGAGGGAGAATCAGCAGCCCAGACATGGGAATGAGGTTGTCATGGGTTGAAAAATTAATGATTTTAATATTCACAACATTATTGTAAATATTATTTTAAAAGCAAAGACAAGTTATAAATTATTATCATTATAATGAAAGTAGCTTTAACGGCACGGACCTTCTTTATTTGTTAATCATCGTATGGAGTGAGGGAAGTACTGTGGCAAGTGAAAATAGACATTGAGTCAGTTCACGGAAAAAATGAAAATCACTCACGTCCTTGTTATGTGTGACCTGGCGTTCCTTTTAACATTATTGTACTAATCAATCATTCAGTATCATCACTTTTTTCAGATTATTTGAATTTAATAATTTTTTTTATAAAAAAATCCTAATCTAAAATTAAAAAAATTACAAATAATAAATTTGAAAGTATTAATTATTATTTTTAAAAATAAATATATGAATTATTTGAATTAAATTTTGTTTTAATTCAATAATTTTAAATGTAGATTCTTCTTGATGTATTTAATAATTTATATTCAAAATATTTTCCACAAAAATTATTAAATATTTAGCAGTTTAATCTTATTATTGATATTTTTATAAAAATACTCCTAAATATTTTTATAATTTATACTATTGAAAATTATATCAAAAGTCTTTATATTCTGTCATAATTTGAAATTTAATTCATACATTGTAATTTATATAAATGTAGTCTTCATATTATATTTGAAAATCTTAATCAATTACTAACTCCAATAATTTTTTTGTTGTTAAAAATGTTGACGTAGTCATTGATTTGATTATGAGAGCATTGATTTTGCTGAAGTAGTATTAATTTTACTATGTGACAATTTGAATGAATGAAATTAATTGTTAAATTATGTAAATTATCCCTATATTTACACAAAATTTGAAATTTAGCTTTTCTAGTAAAATTTTATAAAAATTTCATTTTCATGTAAGTTGAATTTAATAATGTTAATCTAATTACTAATAAAAATCATTTCTTTTACTTTTTTCTAAATTAGATTTTAATTTTTTAAAAAATAAGTATTTCAAATTTTTTTAGATTTTTCAAATTTAAAAATATTTGATTTAATTTTTAAAAATATTTTAATTTTTTAAAAATCATATTTTTTAAAGATCATATTTAATTTTTTTAAATTTAATTTTTTGAATTTTTTTTCAAAATTTAACATTTTATTCAAACAAAATATTTAATTTTAATATTTAAAATTTTTTGGAATATTTATAAAATTAAAAAAATATAAAAAATTTCTAAAAATTCAAAATATTAATTTTTAA